AACTCATAGTCTATACCCTTTAACCCCTTAACCATACCCCAAGAATACACATTTAAGGGCCCTATGTTCTAACTTGCCTTCAGATTGATGTGCAAAGACTCCACATCCAAAAACCTTTAAGTTACTGAAGTCAACATGTTTCCTTTTCCACATTTCTTCAGGGGTTTTAAAGTTTATAGCACTAGAAGGGCATCTATTAATAAGATAACTTGCAGTTTTAACAATTTCACCCCAAAATATCTTAGGCAGGTCAGATTTAAAATCATACATCTCACTTTTTCATTTTCAAGAATAGTTCTATTTATCCTTTCAGCCAAACCATTTTGTTGTGGAGTGTGTGTCACAGTTCTGTGTCTTAACATGCTAGATAATTTGCACAACTCATCAAATTCAAAATTGCAGAATTTCAAGCTATTATTTGTTCTTAGGACTTTAATCTTTTTATCAATTTGATTTTCTATCAAAACTTTCCATTCTTTGAAAACATTGAATGTGTGAGATTTTGATTTTAAAAGAAAAGTTCAGTTTTTTCTAGAAAAATCATCTATGGCCAACAAGTAATATTTAAAACCAGTATTTGTAGAAACAAAAACTGGTCCCCAAAGATCAAAATGCAAATATTCAAGTACAAACACAGATTGTGCATTCTAGGCGGAAAATGTAATCTATTATGCTTTCCTAGAATGTAATAATCACAAAAACTGAGTTTTTCAATATTATCTTTTCCAAAGGCACCCTGTTTTCTCAAAATTTGCAGTCATTTATCACTAATATGACCTAACCTTTTATGCCACATTTGTGACTTGTCATTTTGAACTGAGATTGCTGCTGAAGTGGAATCATAAAAATTTTCAGTTTGTAAAATGAACAGGCCATATCTCTTAGGAGCTTTAGCAGAGAAATGAAAGCCCCTTAAGATTTTAATGTATTCCTTGTTAATCAAAATATCATAGTTAAAGTCATCTAAAACCCCCAAGGAAATAAGATTTCTTTGCAAATCAGAAACATATCTTGTTTTTTCAAGAACTAGTTCATTACTACCCTTTATTATATTTAAAGAGATAGTTCATATTCCTTTTAATTGACATGTCGGTGATTACCCATTAAAATCTTGCCACCAGTCACGTTTCAAAATCTGTAAACCATTCTTTATTTGGACACATATGGTAGGTGCAGTCAGAATCAAGAATCCATTCTCATAAGGTGGACTGCTTACAACGACATAGACTTCATCAATGTTGATTTCATTATAAGCTAAGGCTGTACCACTATCATCTTTAGATTTTTTTTCAAGTCATAAAACCTTTTAGGACAATTTTTGATAAAATGACATTTTTCAAGACAATAGAAACATTTTTTTTAACTTTTCTCTTAATTTTCATCTTATCTCTAAAATTTCTCTTCTTCTTGTGTCCAAGTTTCTTGTTAAAGTTGGCATTTTTAAGATTGAACTTAAACTTCATCATTAAATTATGCCACTGACGGATTCTCTCTTTTCAGATTTTAATTCTAACTCCTTAGATCTTAAAGCATTAATGATCATATCAGTGGATAGAGTTTCCCTACCANATATTTGTTTCAAGGTCAAGAGATGTATCCAGTTAAAAACCAAAGAATTGTTTCAAAAGATAGACCTTATTTGGCATGGTTTTGTTCAAATAAGTGGTTTTCAATTTCTTCCACAATTTAACAGCAGTCTTAGTTTCTCCAATTTTTCTAAGTACATTATCAGACAGATGCAGAAAGATAGAGCTCCATCCAATTTCATCTTGTTCAGTTACTTTACTTGTTTCAAGATCAATTGGCTATAATTCATCAATGGTTTTAGCACATTTTTGTTGTAATAAAAGAGCTTTCATTTTTTTACCCCACAGACTAAAGTCTCATTTGCCATTATAAACTTCCAATTCAAATTTTAAGCTAGTCATTTAAAGAAAGTTTAAATGCAGTGAAGTATATGCAGATCAGAGAAACACTATACAGACACTTGTAACTTAGAATAAACCAAGTATCACCATACAAGAGACACACAAAATATACAGTAGTTGCAGGTTATAAAGGAACTTCAATTATTTCACAGAGAAGCAAGTTGTTCGTAGCAATATGATCACAGTGTTATATTTAACACAGATCATGTACGAAATTCAACAAGGATGTATTATACTACAATAAAGATCGCAGCAGAGAAATATTATCAAGATTCTTGACTGAGTTCAAGGTAACCCTCAAATTCTAGACAAAAGAATTACCTAGATAGTCCGAGATCATGTTTTCAAAAACACTAGTGTAGAGAATTTAAAGAGTATAAACACTTAATTTGTACTTTAAACCTTAAAACAAAAACAATCTCACCAAATCCCCTTATTAGGGTATCAAGAAATAACGAAGAGCATCTCAAAGAAGTGTTACAACTTTCAGATCTACCTGAAACTGAGTCAAGAACCTCCGTTCAACTCTCTAATACCACTGGTAGGAGGAGATTCAAGAAACGTTTAGCTCAAGAACAAAAAAATCATAAACAAGAAACGAACAAAAATAAACTGTAAAGGAGAAATTCATTAATAGTTGCCTTAAGCAATAACCCAAACATCAGTGTCTCAGTCACTGAGAAAATAGCCACCTTTTGAATGAAATACAACCAAGGTAAAATGATAGGTTTTCGACACTCAGACCAAACCGTTAAAATCATAGTACTCAGCCCTTACTCAAGATTAATTGTTTACACAAGAACATGACACTCACCACAAGTAAAAATCACCCAAGATTACAATATTGTGAGAGTAACCAAAATAAAAAAAGAGAGTTTTGATATTCAGAGAGAAGGAGAGTAGAATTCTCGAACGGCACAGGGAGTGAAAGAGAAAGATATCAGAAGCCAATGTACAGTGCAAACCCTAGGAAACCTTTTATAAGAGTCACCAAAAGGTCATCATCCAATGGTCGTGTAGATTTCACTTTGCGACATCTTTAGCGTCCATTCAAAATGTAATATAAAACACAGCTTTCATCAATTCAGAAACAGGACTTTGCACAATTTAGAAAAACACATAAAGGTTAGTGAATCGATCAATAGTACAGCTGAAAAGGGTGTTTGCATCATTGTGCCATTCCCTTCGCTTGAAGTAATGCTTTTGATGACACAGAAGCTTAAAATAATGACATAAAAAAAATAATCAAAACTCATTGATTTACAAAGTCAACCAATCAACACTTATTGATTTAACTAAGCTCTTGTTTGAACTTCATTAAAGAATGAAAGTCTTGAAATATTTATTTTTCGTAGAATGTATGATTAGAAAATATGAAAAAGTTTTGAGTTTATGTGTAACATCATTTTATAGGACAATATATGGTTGAAAATGAGTTTTGAAAAACTAAAGTCAAAAAAGGAGCTAAATATTGATAACCGTTTAAAATCAAGATCTCATGTTTGAACCTCATTCTCTAAAAACTTATTTAGTGTTTGTTTGGTAGGGATTTTTTGGGGGAAGAATTGATTTTGAATAGTGATATGATGGGAAATGTGTGGTTGAAAAAGAAGATAAAATTATTGATGTGATAGAAAATATTATTTTATTAAAGAATGTGTGGTTGAAAATGAGAATTGATTTACTGTTGAAAATGAGAATTTTTACCAAACATAGCCTTATTCACATTCATTTTCAATCACGCATCTCTCATTAAACTATTTTTGTAGGCAAACCCACTTTTTTTTATTACTTTTTAACTACATTCTCCAAAAATCACCGTTACAAAATTTATTTTTCATGTAAAAAAATAGGGCCCAAATATAAGCTAATACTACAAAAATACTGAGAATTTGACTAACAAATTTGCTGATTCTCAAAAGTATTGAATTTTATATAAAATAATTTGAAAATACTATTAGTTCAATTTTTTTTATTTAATAAATAACCAAAAAGTACAAAGTTTTTAACTTTAATTTAAATAATAAATATTCGGATCACTATCATTATTTGGTGTACCATATTTTAGTTATATTAAAAGTTTTCGAACCTTGATTATAATCGTACTTATAATCTCAATTTTTTTCCCTCACATTTTCTATCTTTAACCTTCCAATAATTAACACTTATATATAATGAGATGTACGTCGAAAATATCCATTTGCAGGCATAAACGACTTGTTTTCCCATCATGTTTCTAAATAAGTAAAAAAATAACATGTATAAATATATTTACATCATAGTTTTTACAATTCTGCTTCACGTACAGAGGCAGAATGGCCACACAGTCTTTATACATTATCACATTTATGTCTCAAAATATTTTTTTCATCACATTCTTGTTTTCAAATTAACATAAATTACTGATTATGGTTTCTCTCCAAATTTTTTCTTTAAGATAGTAAAAAAGACCTATACCCATTGTATTTTCAAATAAACCAAACAAAAAATAATGCAAAAATGTGATTAAATATTTGATATCATTTTAAAGCACGTTAATAATATTTTTGGACGAAAACCATCATTAAGAACAAGATTTTTTGATCATCAGTAAAATGCTAAAAATAATAATATGATGAAGAAAAAATTAAGAATATAAGTTCGTGGCTATGACCACCCATAGAAAAGTTCAGCAAAATAATTTTCCTCCATTTCAAATAATGCTGACGAAATATACTATATAATTAATCGAAGCTTAATGACAAGAAAGCAATGAAAAATAATTGATAACATAATTGCAACAATGAGCGAATGAGAATGGACTTTCAATACAATATAATGTGGTGTTTGAAACTAAAATTTGTCGTGCCCTCGAATTACATCAATTCCGTTCCAAACACGTTTATATATGTTATCTTTTTTCTCACTTGTAAATAAAACCAAAACTTATTTTTAATAATAAGATAGGAATTATTTTTTTTTAAATAAATTGTTTTCAACTTTAAACTACATAAAAACTATATTATGAAACTTAATTGTTCCCTTTTTCTGTAATAAGACACTTATTGATTAACGATTGGTTTATGTTTACAGTCATATTGGCTTTCGGCAGGACAACATATTTCTTCTATGCTTATTATGTTCTCAGAACTTTCATTGCCATGGCCGGTGAAGGAAGTGTTCAGTTTCTTGCTTTTGCTTACGTCGTAAGTTAAATCCTTGTTATAAACAGAAATTAAGATACTTTCAATCGAATAAAATTTTATTATTTGCCACAGCTAAGAATTTTTGTCCGTAAAATTCAATAATTCTCATGAATTTCAGTCAGATAATGTTCCAGAGAGCAATAGGGCTGCAGTATTTGGGATAATGTCAGGCATTGCATCCTCTTCTTATGTTTTTGGAAACTTCTCTGCTCGTTTCATTTCCACTTCAGCTACTTTTCAAGTATTCTCTTTCTCCTTCAACTTCTTGAATACAAGTGTGAAAATATTTCTTTTAGTTGTATTTTTTTGTTTGATTTTCTAATTTTTTTTGAATAAATGAGTTGGTGTTCGACACAACCTGTCTCTCTAGACCGTAATAACGTTATAACATGACTTTGACTTCGTACACGAATGGCTCGTACAGGTTTCTGCAGCAGTGGGAATATTATCGCTGGTGTATATGAGACTGCTTCTTCCAGAATCAATGATGAATATCAACAGATGTTCTGAGGAAACTGAGGATGAATGTCTTTTGGAAAAAGCTCCACCCAAGAAAGGGCAGATGTTCAAGACTATGCCCTCAGTGGATGATGTCCTAGGCTTGTTAAGAACTAGGTCAGCAACAATGGCTCATTCCCTTTTATATATGTAGGAATGTTAAAGCAAGAGGATAAATGTATAGTATGATTAGATTCTACATAATCTACCAAAAACTTGAAATTTAAAAAAGAAGCGAGAGGCATCAATTATACAGCAATTTTCCCGCATATCACTACGAAGACTGGATTGTAAAATCTACAAAACTAGACTTTATAAAGCTTTTGTCTCATTATGTATGTAGGCTGTGGCCACGAGCAATCTATATTTTCGTGCAGTTTTTATGCCCTTTAAGCTTGTAAGTCTCTTATACACTACTTTGCAGCCCCACAATTGCCAAGGCAGCTGTTATTACATTCTTCAACAATGCTGCAGATGTTGGCCTCACTGCTTCTTTAAATGTATGTTACTTATCATTGTTTTCCATGAATTTGGAAGCTGTTTTCTCCTTGATAATGCCGAAAATTTTGAGGAACTTTTATGTTGGATAAGTTTAATTTTTATTAAACGTTTGAAGTCGTGACCCTTGTCTGCTTTGATGCCTGTTGAACCATCCAATCCAAAAAAATCGAAGCTAAACATTGATATTAAGAAACCTTTTCTTTGTGGGGTTTATAGTGACTAGTTTTTCATTCAATCATCTTGCAGTACTTCTTGAAGGCTCAATTTCACTTTAACAAAAATCAATTTGCGGATATCATGATAATTTCTGGGATTGCAGGATCAATATCACAGGTAATTTGTTTGTCGAATCTTACTATGCTGCCCTGTCAATTTACATATATTAAGGTTCTTACATTACATTTAATATTCTTGCAGTTAATCGTAATGCCGTTGTTAACTCCACATCTGGGAGAACGGCACATGCTTTCAATAGGGCTCTTTTTCAACTTTGCTCATGTAAGAAACTTGTAACTTAGTACGATGAATTTTCTGGTACACAAGTTGTTCTATATCCAGATTATTCAAATTTTGATCCTGAGAAAACATAAATTACACGGCGTTTTGTTCCATTGAGACAGTTTTTTATTCCAAATCTCAATGCTCGGGTATTAACCATGCAGCTTAACAAGAAGTGAACCTTAAAACACAGATTTCAGTCAACTAATCTGTGTCATTGAATGCAGATGGTTCTTTACAGCATTGCTTGGGCTCCTTGGGTACTCTCTCCTGAACTCGTTTTGATTTTGTCGCTGGCTGTTTTATTTTATTAACGCAAGTTCTCAGGTAAAACGTTACAGGTTCCATATGCTGCTACCGTGATCTCTATTCTGTCTATTTTTGCAATGCCATGCGTAAGTTGTTTATTGCTTGTAAAATTCCTTGTCCCTCATTCATGGCATATTTGATGCGTCACACTGCACAAAATTGAAACAAACACGGATTTAAAGATGTTTCATTCTGAATATTTGTATTTGCAGTTGAGAAGCATTGTATCTAAACAAATTGGCCCCAATGAGCAGGTGAAATATTTGAAAAATAAATTCACGTAGTCGACTTTTAATTTATGGCGAATTACTCGTCTTGAAATTCTTGGTTTTCAGGGGAAGGCTCAGGGGTGCATTACAGGCATATGTTCCTTTGCCAACATTGTCTCTCCACTTGCTTTTAGCCCTTTAACAGGTAGGTGAAAACATAATTAATTAATTATCCAAATTTAATCTAATCTTGATAAACTTAATCTAAAATTTAACAAAGCTCCCTTTCTCTTCTTCAGCTTTGTTTCTGTCAAATGATGCGCCCTTTTATTTCCCTGGATTCGGAATTATGTGCGGCGGCCTATCTGCAGTAAGTAGAATTACTTATCTGCTTTCTTTCCACATATTACTTAACTTCAAAAATAAAGTCATGTTTTGTATGTTCGACTGGACATGATTGGATATCATAAAAAAAGTAACAACTTGCATTGTATAGAAGCATGAAGTCTGTTTTCACGCGCAGATGGTAGCCTTCATTCAGAGCATGATGATAAGGGATACTCCACCTGCTACAACTTGCACCGTGGAAAATTCCGACACCTCCGAGCCTTAAATGGAATATAACTAGAATTGACGGTGTAGTCGAGGAGTTATTTCCTTAAATAGTGTAAATGTTTAGATATTTCAATAGTAGATTACGATTCACCTTAAATTTCAAATAAGTGTCCTACAATCGAATATCACTTCTTAGATTGGGGTTGAAAGTGTCAAGGCGATCATGGGTCGACGACAAGAAGAATAATTTTCAAATTTATCTAATAATATTATTTCAATATCATTTAAATATTTAGTGTATATTGAAGTTATCAATTCATAATTATTGTAGATAATGCTGGCAAGGTGACACTGTCTAACACGTTTGTGGTATCGACAAAATATTTTATTAATTCAATATAATTTTCCCAACAATAATTTTATAGAACTTTATATTTTTATTTTACTACACTAGGAGCTAAGATTTGTATTCAAAAGGGTGTTACCAATGGGCTGAAAAACAGCGAAATAGGGACCCCAGATTTTAATTTCTCCAATTTCTCCCCAATTTTAATTGGTACCCCCAATAGGGAAGTCGCCATTTGGCAATTGTGTCAACCCTTATGTTCATATAGCATTTCTCATTTTAATTTACCTAATGGTTTACATGCACACCCTGTACATGTAAACTATATACAAAATATGCATTGTCCCCAAAAATATTTTTCGCCCTCTTACCAATTTGTTGGCTCCGCCACTATTCTCCAACTACCAAAATTAGAATTAAAAAGATGTGGTTGAAATGAGTTTGACAAAAAAATGACTTTTAATCTTCTATTTTTTGTATTTTTAGCCCTGTTTGAGGCACATTAAAATTCTAATTCTCATTTTTCTACTCATTTTCAAATACATTCTTTAATAAAATAATATTTTTTATCACATCAATAACTTTTCATTCTTTTTCAACCATACATTCTCCATCAATCTACCATTTCAAAATACATTCTTCTAAAATAATGTGGGTCAAACACATCCTGAAATCTGAGAGATTAATATTTATGAAATTGCATAATTATATTGGCAAACCCGTGATTCCAAGATTAAAATTCTACTATTTTTTATATTTAAGGGAAAATTAAATATTGGAGAAGCTAAGGAAATGGACTAGATACCAAAATTGATTCTTGATCGCCATTTTTGGGATCAAATTTTCTTACTTTCTCACAAATCATAGGCATTCCATGTTGGATATATAAGGAATCTATATCCCGTCAAATTAAAGGCTAAAGAGTGTCGAAATTTTTCATGACAAAGTATGAGAAACGATGACATGACACATCAATTAATTGATAAATCATTTAATTCATGGTGCATAAGTCATATAAATGAACATTTTTGTACATCATCTCAATTACAAGTCTGAAATTCTTAATCATCATGAAATGAAATAAGGAAAAAATTGGATTAAAAAAATTAATTTAAGCCCATAATTTCTCTTCTAATTAATGAGCTCTAATCATGTTTAGCTGGAGAGGCTTAGGTTGAGCCATGGCTCTTCTCCTCCACAAATTAATTTCCTTCCTTGGCTCGACAGCCACCCCTCCGCCGCCGAGACCACATCCGGCGACCAATGGTGGAGCCGAAAGAGGAATAATTTCTTCATATTCTTCTCCCTCTGAATAGTATTCTCGTTCCTCCAGTGCAATCTGTGCAGTTCTCCAATCAAAATTCACCAGTGTATGAGAATCTCGAGTGCTGGAAAACCGCTTCATCTGGCTTATAGTCGAAGCCCGATCGAGTAGAGACGATTTATTACACTGATCCACTGATACATCGGATTTTCTTCTTTCGGGCTTAACAGTACTGCTCAAGATATTCAAAACCGTTGATGGTTTCTTCTTTAGCTCCGGCGGAGGCCCGATGAGCTTGATTCTGGGCTCGATTTCTTTAGCCAAGGAAACACACTTGTTTCTACATAGCTGCTTCTTGTGCTTGATTTGTCCCATGCATGAAATCTTTGGTGATGTTGGCTCTTGTGTGTTCTTTGATTTCCCTGTTCGAGCTTCAGCTGGAATTATAGACATAATCAGGCCGGAAGACCCTCTGTTGAAATGGATTTTACCTTTCTTAGCATTCGTTCCATCTGATATTCTCTTGTCTTTACCAGGGCTGAAAATAGGGTTTTGAAATGAAACTGCTGCTTTTGGTAGAAACCATAAAATCTTGTTCTTTGATTTATTAGTTGCTTGAGACTTCTCCATTTTTGCTATATTAAGCTTTCTCACTCTCTAATTATCCCTATATATAGTGAGAGGAGAATGGTTTGGTCAGAAGAGAAATGTAAGACTGATCAAAATAAGACAGCACCTACCCGTATTAATTAATTAATTAATTAATAATAAACCTTAGTTTAATTTTGAAACATGTTTTATATATATCCCTATGTATTAATACCAACTACTAAATGTTCATTCAATGGGCTAAGTCAATTGCTGACTGTATACAGTATAAAATACGAAAACGGTGATAATATTACAAACACAAAAAAAAAGATGTCAAAAAGTTTAGATATGTCATTTTTTGATTACTTCAACGTAAATGTGTGATTGTTTGTTACTATGTTATTTGGCACGTTATTAGATTGTGTTGTACATGAACTGCCAAAATAACAATAGCATAGAGAAATTTTTTTTTTCTACGTTCTTTTGCACCTTTGTCTGTATTTTCTCGATCATATGCAATGGATTGATTCTTGAAAAAGATCGACAATATCATTTTGTCAAAATGTTGAATAAAACACACTGTTTCGTCCGCATTCTTACGAAAATTCATTTTCAACCACACATTCTTCAATAAAATAATATTACAAGTAAATCCAAAATTTTTCTTTATTTTGTAACAACATGCTTTTCATCAAATCACTATTTAAAATGCATTCTCCACTCAATTATGTGCATCAAATAGGGTATAAATTAAATTTTTTTCGACTATTTTATGTCGTGTAATATAGTTATTTTGAAATCCAGAAACAATTTTATTTCGCTGAATTAATGTAGCCAAAACACAAAGGAAATTAGCACTGATAATGTTGAAAATTACCCTTTTGACTTTGTAGAGAATATGACGTGTCTTTGACTGGGAGCCTCTTGAATATTTATAGGAAACGTGGCATGCATTTCAAATTGTAAAATTTGCCGGCGGCATGTTGCGAGAAACGGCGGCTGAGCCAAGATATTTTATTTGGATGGAGAAGAAAATTATATGCCAAAAATTATGCAGTACAAAAAATTATAAATAATATAATTACTCTTAATCTACAAGTCCACCCGTTAACCATAATCTAGATTGCACTTACAAGGAAATGGTGGTGTTAGAGAAAGAAAGCAAATCCTTCCACATGGGAAATTAGCTACGTGGCTACTAGCTTATAAGGTTAATTTCCTAAACGTTTTGGTTTAAATGCTAGCAAACCGTTTAAAAATCCTTTTCTGCTTGGGAAGAAGAGGAAAGAAAAATACTCAATAGTGACTCCATAAAATATGATGATGAATTCAAGGGAACGCATAAAACATTGCCACGAAATCTTCTAGCTTGTTTGAAAATATGTCATTGACACACGCACAACAAAAAAGTGGAGATTGTGCTTTCTAGTTGAAAATGGTGAAATTATATTCTTACATTGGCAGCGACGTGCTAATCAATAAGTAATAAAACTACGGAAACTATTATCATATTAAGCATCTAAGTTTGTATTATAACTTCCTTAATTTTTTCAGAGAAAGCCTTCCTTTTTGCTTTTTTCAACCATTGAATCACAAGCGCAAAAAAGTGAAAATTTGCAAAAAAAGATACAAATAAATTAGTTGAAGAACCTAATGGATTAACTCGTTGAACTCACATTTTCGTCGATCGGAATCAGATTTGCAAGATATTTGAGAAAGAGAAAAGAGGGTGGATTACATGGATAGGTTTTAAACTATTTGAAATTGGAATGAGAGAAAAATTTTGAGTCCATCTTGTAAGTAATTCTTTTTCCTTTTTTATATTTTTAATTTGAAAAAAAAAATCCAAGAATTTTGAGTGGACCACTACTGATCACCCTTGCCCATAAGTGGCTCTGCCCTTGGCGAAAAATACGTTTGGAACATACTGATTGTAATTAATAAAGCGTGTGAGGTGATCATCGAAAATATATTTCGAATAAAAACTACCGCAAGTATACGAATCGTTCAAGTAATAAAATGTAGTTTAGAGTCCAAGTATCGTTCCCACAGAGATTTATTAGTTCGATTTTACATATTCTGATCTTAACCGAAACGTGA